AGTGAAACTATTATTATTATTATTTTCATTGTGACACAGCACATCACTGCGCACATTAAAATGTGTCCTCTGTCTTTAACCCAAACGGCAGCATGTATCAGTTGATATCGAAATCGGAAATTAAGTGTTTGGAGAATATCGGCATATCGGGCATCCATAATTAAAAGCAATAAAAACCCAAATAAAACTAAGCCTTATGAAAAAAACTACCTAAAACGAGAAAAATGTATTAAAGAAAAAAAAAAAAAGACAAAATGAAATGAAACTCAACTCTGATGGAAAACCCATAACTATTATAACCTTGTTGGAGATCGATCTTCAAGTTCTTCTGTGGCTCAGACTCTCAGCCAGAACCGTTCCCATCTTTCCTTGGTGTCCTGAACTCAGACTTCATATTGAACTCCGCTGGAGCTCTACGTAGATGCTTCTCATGATGACGCTCGAGGCATCATCAATAAATCACAGGCGATTAGCGCTGGTTGTGAATGCAGTTGTGACCGACTCGTCTGCGATGCCACGGCGTTCGAGGATCACTGTGGATGCAGACGTGTTTTCCTGACGTCTCTGAATGTCTGCTGCCTTTATTTTAAACACATGTCTCCACAGATTGTTACAAACTGTGAAATTGTGCTGTTGTGTCGCGGTGGTGTGAATGTGGTGAGCAGAGGCAGCAGCAGCAGCAGCAACGTGTGTGTGATACCGCAGAGCCGCGCTGGCAGACGCTCTGGCATGGTTGGTAAGCCTTGGCTCACTCCGAGGGCTCTGACGTGAGCCGGAGCAGTGTTTCTTTCTACTTTGGTATCATAACAAGTGGAGCTCTCGGAGGTTTAGAGCGCCACCACAGACATTATCCACAACACAACGCCCACTGCTTCTTTTATTAGCCTGACTGTTATATGTAGATACTCACACTTGTACACACTGGGCTCAGCAACACTGTACTGAGTTGACTAAATGAGAAACAGGGTTTCATAAAAACACCCATGATCAGAGACGTGACATCTCAGCTAAGAGCTAAGAGCAGGTCCTGGGTCCACTTGCTAACAAAGTCTGGTACAGTTTTGAATGAAGTAGCAACAGTAAACCTAATTAGACAGACTAATCATACAAACAGTCAAAATGTTATTGATCCACTAAGATCTTTATTTGACATTGTCTGTGTTGGTTTAGATCAGGCGGCCACATCAGCCACATCAGCAATACAGCTCCCTGTGAACGGCCGGTTGTAACTGGATGACTGTATAAATGTAACTACTGCCTATTGTATTATGGATCATTATTTACTCAAGGTACAAATATTGTAAGGTCCTATGGGCCACACAAAACGACTTCATGGGTCACATCTGGCCTGCGGGCCTTGAGTTTGACACATGGTTTAGACAGGTGGTTCTCAAACTGTAGAGCGCTCTCTAGTGGTACGCAGGGGGAAAATTTATATTTTCAGAGAGCGCTCTCTAGTGGTACGCAGGGGGGAAATTTATATTTTCATATTTATATTTTCAGTTGAATAAATCTGGAACATACCATGGACAATTACTACGACATTCAAACATAAACATCTTTATAAACATCTCTCCTGTGGTGGAAGTTAACAGTGAAGGCTAACGTTGGTCATCATGGTGGTTCCGCTGCTGTATGCTAACGTTGGTCATCATGGTGGTTCTTAGAGTAGAAAAGGTTTGAGAACCACTGGTTTAGACTGTTTGTAACCGTCCATAGTTTTTTTCTTCTTCTTCGTTTGATTATTTATTGTAAGCAGTTCATCTTTTTGGAGAGTCACGTACAACTGTTCACACTCACGTCTCACCTGTGGTCAGTTTTGGATTGCGGAGGAGCCTGAAGTACCTGGAGAATCCTCGCCTCCACTCCGTCAAAGACAGCGAACACGAGAGAGAACCAGCAACCATGGACAGATCAATTACCAATGGGACTCAAACTCATGAACTTCTCACTGTAAGGCATGAGCCAAACCCATTGTGAACACCCTATTGTGCCCATTGTGAACACTGAGTAACCCCCAGTGCACTGTGTGTTTCACAAGATGCCCCTGGTCTGGGCCTTCAGCGATGACCAAGCGGCTTCCACCGGCGTGCCCACGGACGTTGGAGTGTGACATCACTGCTGCCGCACAAACAGGCCTATTTAGAGTGGAGCGGAATCCCATCTTTGTCTAAGAACCTGCCGCCCCCACCAGTGTTACAGCTGGGCGCTGTTTACAGCCAGCTCCGACCAAACGACGACTCAGACCCACTGCTTTTTTGTTGCTGTGTTTGTTGGCAGCTGCAGTAGCCATTTGTGGCGAGGCCTGAGGTTTTGGGAGCAGAAACAGAGAGTCTGGCCTGGGTTGCCACAGAAAGGGGGGATCCCCCTTCTCTCCCACCCCACAGGGCTGTTCTCCCACCCCACCTCCGGGGGCAGAATGCTGGTGGATGCCACAAGCTTGAGGGGAAGGGTGGAAAAACGAAGGAAAAATGCTGAGATGTTTGAACACAGCTGGACCTGGACCAAGAGCTACAACTGCTGCTGCAGGTTCAGGTCAAATATGATCATTTGGAATAACCAGTTCAGTCTTCAAACCATGCTTCAGATTTCTACCAGACTAACACTCCAAAACGTGGCTGTGAAGCTGAGAAGTATCGGATTTAGCATTTTAGAAAAAAAAAAACAGATTCATCAAATTTGCTAAACTGCAGGCAGCTAAACATCAAGGTTTGCGAAAAAATATAGCACAATTGCTACGTATGATGTAGAGATGTCCAATCACATCAGTTGGCTAATAACATTAGCCCAATATGAGCATATTTATGTATATCAGAATTGTGTTTAGTGGAACATTGAAAAACCTCATCAAACAAATTGCTAGTGGCTATCTGTGGCTAATAACTGTGGCTAATTTGCGATTTGCAGTTAGTACGAAGCGTTAGCTATGCAAGAGGAACCCATCTTGTTCATAAATAAATTGCGATAGATTGTCTTCAGAACCATGAGCTAACACCTGAGCTTAATGATCAATTAAAACACATCTCTCGGTTTTTCTAATCTGCTCCGTTACAGGCTGGACAGTATCAGATATCGGTGAAAAAGATCAATTTTAAGGAGCTCCAGTTAGATGTAAAAAAGTTAACAACTAGTCAAAACTGACAAAAATAGTTTACAACATAAAGCAGTGACTAAAACTAACAAAAAAAAAATCAAAGCTATTTCAGAGGGAGATTAAAGTTGAGCAAAAAGACCAGTTCTGGACTGTAAACAACAGCAGTCAATCTGAACGTTCTCCACAACAGCAGCTCCAAACCCAGGCAAAAGTTTGTGCAAATGAGATGTTAAAGTAACAGCGAGGATTTTGATGAGGTCATTTTCCGAGACGCTCCGTTACAGGTACGTTTGTGTTTTTTAAAACTCTATTTCCATCGACTCTGTGGACCTGCAGAGGCGTTAGCGCCGTTAGCGTAGCCATCGTGTGCCGCAGACTGCGCAGCCTCGACGTTTGTTTCCTCTGAGGTTTGTGGTGTCGCTGTTAACACGCGCGCACGTGTGTTTTCTCACTGTTTGTCCATCTCCTTGTTTCCCTGCGACTGTTCCTGAGTGGGGTGTAAACGCTAAGAACATGTATTTCTCCACATGACACGTTTACTGTCCTGTTTTACAGTTCACACGCCGTCATGCCAGACAGACCAGAGGGCGTCGGGCAAATTTATATCCATCAGGAGTCGCCCAAAAAAAAGTTCTGTTTTAATGTTTTCAATTATTCCTACATTAAGAAAGTGAAGCGTAGTGATGGAGCTGGAGCTGGAGCTGGAGCTGGAGCTGGAGCTGGAGCTGGAGCTGGACCTCAGACCTCCACACTCCAAACCCAGGGCTCATAAAACACAGAAGGTCAGTAAATAATAAACGCCTCTGCACTGACAGTAAAGTCATGATGAGTGTGGCTCATTCCTGGGTAATCTGTGGAGCCCACAGAGTGAAAATCTGCCCATAAATCCCACAAATGTGTTCCTGCCTAACATCCAACAAACACAACAGCAGAAGTCACGTGTTTCGAGGGAAGAAATTCACACCGATAAACAATGGCTCCAACTCCTGTTTCCCGTGTCCACACTTTCATTTATCTTTCCCTGGTAACACGTGGACGTCGGTTCGTCTGGATATGTGCTGGGCTAGCTGTTAGCCCTCACTGAAGTTATGGCTAGGTTGAGTCATCTTTTTTTTGTGACATTTAACTATTCTTTGAAATATCGAATACGTCAGACTTTCTTTGAGCTACTTTGATTTATCTGATACTAAC